GGCTTGATAGGCTTGTGTGGATGGCAACCCCAGACTCCCATTTTCCAGTCACTCAGCACCAGTAAGCTGCCTTTACTAGCCTTGAGGTAGAGAGCAGTCTGTCAATGTGGCAACCTTCAAACAACCAAGAACCACACAGAAAACTTGCCTAAAACCACACAGTAAGTGGTGAGACAAATATGAGATTGTCAGAGGACAAGGGCACAGCAGGTGACAGGGTGAGTTAACCACTTTGTGGGCTGAATAGAGTAGACCTTGGGTTTTATTCCCTAGGACAATTATGAATTGGAGGAAGATAAAGAAATGTACCTGGTTGGTCAGGGAGAGTCATTGTGGCCCGTGGACTGTGGTTTAGACCTGTGCTAGTCTTTCTCTCTCTTCTCTGTGGAGCCTGGCAGGAGATGAGGGAGATGGATTTAAGGCACAGAGAAGGTCCTGCAGAGCCAGTGTTGGCAGGTGTGACAGGAGAGTCCTCCAGGTGGTTCTTTGGTCCCTGACTAAAGATGCATTTGAGTTCTGTATGAGTGCACCCTCCCCTCCCTGCCAGACATCTGGGCCCCTCACCTCTCCTGCCTTCATCCCTAGAGTCCCTGACCACTCTCTATAGCTAGGAAGACTGTGTGTGGCAGGTTCTGAGCGAAGCTTCGTTGAGTCAGAGCTGGATAAACCAAAGAATCCAGGCCCAAGACAAATGGCTGGAGGACCTCTGAATCCCTCTGACTCACCTTCCAAACTTAAGCCTTGAACTTGAACTTGAAACAAGAAAACACATAGCTAGGCTGACAGATGGTTCAATGGGTAAAGGTGATTGCCACCAAGCCTGACAATCACCAGAAGCCACGTGCTAGAAGGAGGGAACAAACTCCTGCAAGTTTTTCTCTCCTGGTGCCCCCCTCCACATAAATAAATAAATTAATGTGAAAAATTAAGCACATAGCAAAGCTGTGTGCTATGCTCTTAGGTTGGCATATGTATATTTTCCTTCATTTGTTCAGGTTACTGTAGGAAAATTTCAGTTCCAGGTTAATGGTCATGTGGGTTCCTCAGATTGGCAAGCAGGACTGTTGGGGAGGAGGTCCAGTGTGGAAAGGCAGGAGTGAGTGGTGAGGTGTCCTGGCAATGGTTGGCATAGGCAGGGAAAAGTGGTGAAGGAGGAACGGATTGGGAAAGGCTTGGGCATGTGTAGAAGTAGGGAGAGGGGGAATGGTACTCAGCGGAGCCTTCCTTTGTAATGCCCAAACAATCCCAGCATGGGCCCTGTTGCCTCTATAATCCAGATTCTGGTCTGTCTTCAAATCCTACTAACAGCTACCATGTGTGATAAATGCCAGCTCACTAAATCTTTATAAATGACTAAAATGGGAATTAACTTTATAGGTGAGTAACTGATAAACAGAGAGGTCCAAACTATTGCCTGAGGCCACAAAGTAAGTGGTAGAGCTAGGCAGTGTTTAAGTCTGATTTAAGATCCTGCTGATACTAGATTGCAGCACCTGCTAGGTTCTGAGGTCAAAGAGAGAAGAGACTGGATCTGTAACCTAGGACTTCCTCCACTGTGTTTCCTGCCATCACCCTGCCATAATGCCTGCTGTGGGGTGTGGTGTTGAGGTCTGGAGATGCTGTGTGTTGGGCCGGAAGATGGGACCTTCCACAGGACTCTGAAGTATACTGTGAGGGCACCCAGACACTGAGGTATAGGCAGTGTGTTTTGGGAGATCATGTCCCTGTTCTCCACAGAGGGAGCTGATGGGTGATGGAGAAATGTCCATTGGGTAGAGAAGACAGCTACACAGAAAGGAGGGTGAGGGACAGTTTGAATCTGGCTGAGGAGGCAGTAGAGGTACCTAGGCTCAAGGCTCAAGGAGGCTGAGCTGCTTCCCATCTGAGCTAACAGAGTTGCAGCGAGGTGTTCTTCCTACTGCTCTCCTGGGAATCCCCAGACTTAGATGTTTTCCTGGGAATAATCAGTGGGCTGTAAGCAGCACTTTAAAACTTGAATGTAGAAAACCAAGTGAGAAGTTTTTATGGAATAAGAAGAGGTTTCTCCTTGAAGTCCCTCCTGAAACTCAGGGACAGGGTGATAGGGACAAGTTTGAAGATCTGGTTTGACATGATATACCTATGGATTGGTGACATTTAGGGTGCCAGAGTTCTGCTAGTTAGAGAGACACATGGGTATTAGGGTGATGGGCCCATGGGCCTTGACTGCTGTTTCTGCCTCCACTTCCTTCTTCCCTCTTGGGTATGGACAGTGCAGTGGCCTGAGGCTGATCTAGGTCAAACACTATCAGGGAGAAGAACCGAACCAGGATGGTGGCCACATCACTAAGCCTGAGGCCAAGCTGATATGCCAAGGACAGCCCTCTCTTACCAGGTCACTTCAGGGTGATGGGAGTAGGATGGAGGTGGAGCAGGTGCCATGATGATGTGCTTCAGGCTTTGTTTTGGTTCCCATAGGAGAAATGTGATAGCAGAGCTGAGGCCATCTGTTTCCTGGGGTGAAGCTGTGCTCCCATTGGCATTAGAGATGGTCTGTGGCAGGGCCAGAGATCTGGGTACAGGATTGTCCTGGCCATGCGGCTGGCTGCCCACCCAGTAATAGTCATGGCCTTGAGGTGGGAAAAAGAGGTCCTCTTTCACACTCCTAGTGCACACACACATGCAGACACATTCACTTCATTCTGACTTTTCCTTTTCATGCACAAAGCTATCTCTCTAGTCCTCATTCCACACCTCCCAGTTCTGTAGCTTCTGTGCAACATCCTCCTCTTCTCTCCCTTCTCACAGGACTGGAAGTGTGACACTGTTGAGTCTCCTCAGGCTTCTGAGAGCCAGTGGCTGGACCTAGAGGTAGAGAAGTAGGGAAACTGCAGGCCTGGAAGGTTAGGGGAAGGAATTCTGTGTCCCTCTCCCCACCCAGTTGGGCGGGACAACTCAGCCTCAGGGGGCGGCAGCTACTACACTTTAATCCCCTTTCCCAACAAAAGGGAAATCCTCCCTGGATGTGAACTCTGACTGGGGCAAAGGGAGCTAACATGCAATCAGGTGAGGGCTTTAAAAGTTTTACGTGTGTTTTACCCACATGATATAAGTGCACCATGTACATGCAATGCCCATGGAGGCTGGAAGAGGGCATCTCATCCCCTAGAACTGGAGTTATGGATGGTTGTTAGCTGTCATGTGGGTGCTGGGAACTGAACCTCAGTCTTCTGCAAGAGCAGCCAGTGCTTTTAACTACTGACCCGTCTCTCTAGCCCCTGGGTTCTGTTAATGTGTAAATGGGAGAGGAAGTGAGTAGATTTGGTGTTGAAAGTAGATGCCCTGAGTGTTCAAATGGAGCATCCATTCTTAAACCATGCCCAGCTGCCCAATCCTGAGTGAAGAACAGCAAAGCCCATAGGGTTTCTATTTAAAATTTCTCATTTATTTTGACATTCACTTGGTTCTGATTCCAAGTTATCAAAGTTGTAAGACAAGAAATCTGCAGCAGGAGTAGTGAAGTAAGGTGGAGAAGGATGGCAGAGAGGACTGGCCGTTCCCTGGCCCCTCCTCCTTCTCTTCCTGTTAAGGGTGCAGTTTGAAGAGTGTATAAAGAGTGTCCCATAGTACAGTCTCCACAGCTGAAAGAACAGTGCTGCTGAGTAGAGTGAGCTCCCTTTTCCACAGTGTGGACCCCTTGCAACTACAGTGAGGTGGGTGGGTGATCTCCAGCCTGTGGTGGAGCCTGTGCCTGGAGCAATTGGACTGAGGACAAGCGTGTGATCTACCTTCCCTCTGACACTGGGACCCAGATTTTGACTTGTGGGTTAATAGCATTTAGGCTGAGAAAGCTGTAGAAGACAAAGGTAAAGAGCGTTTTGTACCCAGGACCCTGAGTACAAAAGTGGGTAACAGCTGGCTAGAGGTGGAGCCTATGGCTGTGGAATTGCTGGGGAGCAAGGCACTGGGCTGGTTATCAGAAAGTGGGGAGTGCTGCCAGGCCCATCAGTAAGTCAAGGGGTTGCCTGTGGCCCAGGAAGGGCTGATGGTGGGACAGGGCACACTGAACCTGTGGAACAGCCCCTCTGTACTGGAGACCCACCCATCTCATTACCCCTCTTGCATTGGCTTCCTGGTAAGAGAGCAATGCTGCCATTTGAGTTTGCTCAGTAAGAGGTTGGACATTTTGTTCTGTTTTGTTTTTGAGACAGGGTCTCATATAGCCCAGGCTGGCCTCTCAAACTTGCTGTGTAACTGATGATGGCCTTGAACTCTTGATCCTCCTTCCTCTATATTCTGAGTGATGGGTTTACAGGCCAGTACCACCATGCCTGGTTTTATGCTGGAAACTGAATGCAGGGTTTTGTACATGCCTGGCAAGAATTCTACCAATTGAACTACAACCCCAGACACTATTTATTGGCCTTTCACCAACAATTGAAATGAGTTTCTTTTTTGTGTGGTTTTCATCCCTCGATAAGTGTCCCTGAACCCAGAATCAGAGAGCTGCTGAGTCTGTCCAGCTCTGTCTAGGATGAGGGCAAGAGGAAGGAACTGGCTGGCCAATCATTTTAGGAAGCCCTGATTGATGGAGCATTAAGGAACCTTTGAAGTCATCTAGGCAAGCTTTGTTTCCTTGGAGAAAATGCGAGTCTCAGTAAAGAGAAGTGACTGGGCCTAGGGCTAAGGAGTCACCAAAATGTGACCAGAGCCTGAGTTTTGCTTCTCAACCTAATGTGTGTTATTTCCAGTTGGAGATGTGAGGAGCCCGAGGCCTCAGCTGCACTCTGTCCTTTGTCAAGAAAAAAAAAAAAAAAAAACAAGATTTCAGCAGCGGCCAGCCCTTTCAGG